TTGTTTGATATTGGTTTGTATTGTTGCTTGTGGGATGTTAAGCCACTCTTTTTCTGCTGCAAGAATAAGCTCTGGGATCGAGTACGGGGTATGAAGTCTAGCTCGAATTCTTCGTCTTAGCTCATCCCATAAATGTTCGATCGGATTTAGGTCAGAACTGTTTGCTCTCCAGTCTATAACCTGAAAACCGACTTCTGCAATGTAATCTTGCACGATTCTTGCGGTGTGTGCCCTTGCATTGTCATGCATAATGATAAATTCGTCTCCAATGGAGTCGACGTAAGGTACCACATGAATTGCTAAAATCTCCTCGATATATCTGGCAGTCGTTAAACCTCTTCTTCCGTAACACGGTCGTCCCTACGAATGAACTCAAGATCGGTTCGTGCTCCTATAGAAATTGCACCCCAGATCATGCAGGAACCACCCCCATAAGCACTCCGCTCTTCAAAGCAGCATTCTGCAAATCTCTCTCCTGGTCTACAGTACACTTTCCTTCTTCGGTCGCTACCATAGTGGCATATTTTGGTCTCATCTGAGAACAGAACAGATCCCCATTGTTCCAACGTCCAATTCCGATGATCCTGTGCAAAACGCAGGCGTGCTTGCCGATGAGCTGGAGTAAGTTTTGGACCAATCGCAGGTGTTTTAGGGGTCAGGCTATTTTCCCGCAGTCTTCGTCTCACTGTCCACTGACTAACAGCCACTCTTCACACCTCACGGAGCTTTCGTTGTACCTGAACGGCATTAAGGTGACGATTTCTTAGTGTTGTTGACACAATAAAGCGGTCATCACGAGCGGTTGTAAATCGCCGTCTGCCTGTTCCAGGTCGCCTATGAAAGGATCCAGTCTCCTCATAACGTTGTCACACTCTTTGAACCGCTGCGCGTGTCATATGCAATTATCTAGCAACAGCTCGCTGACTAAGTCCATTTTCGATTAGAGCAATAACTTGGGCGGCTTTTTGTGGTGTAGTATGCATTAAACTATTACACTTGAACACTGTGTGATTATGAAAAACGAATAATATGCAAATTTCACTTGCAAAGGCAATACTTTTACAATTAGACAAATTTGTTATTTTCGTGACAATCACCACATAAACACGTTCCATTTGTTTACCGATTACTACGCATGTAAACGATAAGCCTTCTTGATAAATTTATACTCACATTAAAGCATATTAAATTGTCTTTCAAACAGTATATTTGTTTTTATAATCTGAGGAATATTTCATGAAAAAAAATAAAGTTAAAGTCAAAAGTTTACAGTGGGCCGATTTCTATGCACGCAATTTCAATATTTCACCTTGTATTATTCATAATAGACCCTACGTGATATAGTTCGTTGAAATCAGGTTGTTAAGGAGCTTTTAAAAACATAAAAATATACAGGGTGTTTCGTTTAAAATACAGATTATGGACTATGCCAAACTTGCGTGGATTACCCTGTACATTCAAATTTATGTTTAAAAAGTGCACATTTAAATTTAAAAGTTTAGGTATCTCAACGTTTTTGATTATTTTCTAAAATAAGGACTCAAACAATTTTATTCCATAAGTGGTTTCCACACTGTATAATACTACCAAGCGTGTACGATCGAGACTATACAGGCTTGCGTTGCTTAAAAAGCTTTGTTTTAAATTTACAATTGTTTTTAGCAAGGTAGAAACCACTTATTCTTGTCAAAATATTCTTAAATATACGTAAAGGTTTAAAGATTATACAGCTTTTTGTAGAATTGTAATTCATTTTAGTAGTAGATTTTGTCATTTAATTAACAAAAAATTAACAGGAAAGCAAATCTATTTACTTCGATGAGATACGTCTAAAAAAATTTTAATCAAAGCGATTTGATAACGTTATTTGTTAATAACAATTTCCGGCCCAATTGGAATAATTAAAAAAAATACATTTTAACTTAACAAAAAAAAATATAGACACAACCCACAAAAACCAAACAGATACTTTATTCCTTTAAACGAATATAAAATTTAATAAAATCGATGTCAATCAATCGATCCGTAAACCAAGAACTTGGTTTACTGATCGATTTTATAGATGATATTTTCACTATATATTTACAAATCAGAAAGAAAGTAATTAATTTAATTTATGTAAAAAGTACTTACTTCAATTGAGCTAACCGTCTATTTCTTCGTTTAACACTAACACATTTTTTGTAATAACGTCCCATATTTTAACTTATGCAAATAAAATAAATAAAGTCTTTATGAATTAAACAACGCAGTTCTTCACAGATACTTATACACGTGCTAAGCCGATTCTGGATACACTAGATACCGACAGTTTTAAAGCTTTCATACCAGTGAGAGTTTTACTACACGTATTTGCTGTGTGAAGAAAGATAAAATAGGGATAGGAGCGACAGTGTCGATTCGGTCCATTTAAAATTTGAGCCTACGCTCTTAAATCCACAATTATATCGAGAAATACAAAAATAAAACTCTACCAAATAATAATACGCAGAGTCCTAACATATGGTTAAAACACTTGAACTCTAACAAAAAATAATGAAAACATGTTAGGATGTTTCGAAAGAAAAGTACTAAGACGAATTAAAGGAGCAGTGAATGACAATAGAGTATGGAGAAGATGATACAACTTCGAACTTTATAGAATATACCAGGAACCTGATATGGTAAAATATATTAAGATATGACGTCTGAGGTGAATAGGGCATGTAATGTGGTCGGAACAAAATGATCCAGCTAGAAAAACGCTCCTTGATAGACCCGTTCGTCAAAAAAAGAGGAAGACTTCTTTTTCTTGATAACATCGATGAAGACATAAGAAATATGGGAATACGTGTTTGGATAGAAATACGTCGAGAAATACGATGGATAGGGATGACTGGAAAGAAATTCTTAAACCTTGGCAAGGATTTCGTCCTCATCAACAGTTAGTATGCGTAAACAAACTTTCGGGGCAATATTATATTCTGTTCTCTCAACTTTGACATCGGTATCCTCCAAATACCCATTTTATAACATTAAAAAAATGATGAAAACCTTGACTTATCCATATCTGTCTTTCTTTCCGTCTGTCTGTCCATAAAAACACAACTCTTCCGTTACTAGAACAGATAGAATGAATGAGATGTCGAGTGAGACCTTATAACCCAAAGATTATATTAGAGGTGATAAACTTGACCTCCGACTTTCGGCTTTGGAGTTGCAAACGGAAGTACTATATTAAAGTAGTCGAAATGGTACAAGGCGATAACAAATAAACGGTGTTTTTTTAGAGGTATAGAAATGTATGTTGGCTACACTTTTTTATCTGTCGGCCATTTCGACAGCTGTCAAGTGCTTTATGTGAAGTTAGGTTTGGCAATTCAGAATGAATAAACTTGACGCCTGAACAAGGCTTCCAAATTGTATAAATTTATTTTGAAAATGGTGGTTCTGTTCGAAACACGTATCGCGCGTTACGTATATTTTATGGTCAACATAATAGTCCATCAAAGCAAGTAATTCGATTACCCATGAAACATTTTTGCATCAAGTTTACTCTAAATAATATTATTCATCCACAAACACGTCGTACAGTGGGTATAAAAGAAGTTGTGCTGCTGTAGAGCGTAGCATACAGGAAGACCCAAATCAGTCTATCTGCCATCGTGCACAGCAGATGGACACGTGTCCATCCACTTTATGGAAAATTTTGAAAAGATTTTGCTTTGCGTGCTTACGAAATCCAACTCATGCAAGAATTGAAGGTACATCATCACCTAACAAGGCGTAGATTCGACGAGTGGGTCCAAAACGAGATTGCCGTTGATTTTGATTTTCATAAACGAATTTTGTTAACGGATAAAGCTCACTTTTGGTTGACGGCTACGTCAACAAACAAATCTGCCCTATTTGGAGTTAAGACGATCCTCAAATGTATGTTGAGGAACCATTACATAAAAAAATAACTGTTTGATGTGCTTTATGGTCTGGTGGAATCATTGGACCGTACTTCTTTAAAAACGATGCTGGACAGAACGTTAAAGTCCATCGTGACCGCTGTAGAGCTACGATTACTGCCTTTTTCATTTCCCAATTAAACAACCATGATGTACAGGAGATGTTGTTTCAATAAGACGGCACAATATGTCACACAGCTCGTGCCACAGTTGATTTATTGAAGGAAACGTTTGGCAACCGCATAGTTTCACTTTTCGGACCGTGAATCGACCTCCAAGATCCACTGCTAGACTTATGTGTTGTTACGTAAACGTAAACGCTACGCTGATAAGAATGAAACAATTGATCGCTTGGAGGACAATATTAGCCGCGTTATTGCCGATATACGGCGACAAATATTGGAAAAAGTGATCGAAAATTGGACCTCCAGATTGGATTACGTCAGTGGCAGCCATGACGGTCATGTGGCAGAGATCATATTTAAATTATAATGCCAAAAGATTATCTTTCGTATAAAGTCAATTTCATGTTAATTTATAAAAATCTTCTTTGTTTTATTCCATTTCAAAGTTCTATACCTCTAAAAAAACACCCTTTAAATACTTCCGGTTTTTATATCAGTTCCGGTTATAAAGTTATGACCGGAAGTTTGGCAAAAATGACTAAAAATTAGTAAAATCGTATATCAATCGACGTAAAGTTATACGAAGAGTTCAAATATTAACTTCCGGTCATGTTAGGTGAAAACCTAGGACTTAGAAATACTTAGAAGTCTAATTGCTTGTTTTATTTAGGAACTCTTTTTTTAATGTTTAGTTAAGCTTATCAGCTAATAGTACATATTATTTTTGTTGTATTTGCACATTTAAACATTTATTTTTGGTAGAAATGTGCTTTTAATAATCATATTTATCAATTATTTGTGGCATAGTCCAAATAAATTATTTGCCGTTATAACTCTCGATATTCGAGTTCATTATGGACGGAAACAAAATACTACTTTCACTTTCAATCAATATAATGAGTGTGTCTTAAATGCTTTTTGATGTATATATTTATTGCAGGCTGTCATTGCGAAGAAGATATCAACATGTCATCAGTACCTCAGGGAGCCTTCGCGGCAAAAAAAATGCGACAAAGAGAAGAAAAAATCAAAGGTAATTATATTTATTTTCTTTAAAAATATATTTAAAAAATATTTTCAAAACTGAATTGTTTTCTGGAGCTTGAAATATACACTAACCGACAAAAAAGTGGTCATCCTATAAATTTCAGAGAAAAAAATTCATTAGAAGTTTTATGCACTGTTTCGTATTGTATAGTCAACACATTTCATGTTTAAAACAAAAAATGGTCATTACTGCTTGATTCCTTAGATTAGGATATTCCATGCTTTCCGGTTTTGTGTTAGATTTCGTGCACTTTCGCATGTCAATCCTTTCTTCTCAACTTCTTTTCTGATTTCGTCCACCCACCTAACTCTTGGTCTTCCTCGTTTGTTTTTTCCTTGCACTCTCATTTCAAACACTCGTTTTATTAATTTTTCATTTGACATTCTACACACGTGCCCTAACTATCTTAATTGCCCCTCTACTATTTTTTCGTTTATTGGTTCTAGTTTTAGGTTTTGTCTGATTTTTTCGTTTCGTATTTTGTCTGTCCTCTTTCTGTTTGCTATTTTGCTCAGGAACCTCATTTCCATAGCATTGACTCGAGATTTTTGTCTTCCAGTCAATGTCCATAATTCGCTATTATACATGATTGTAGGTCTAACTACTGATTTAACGACTGCCGTTTTTACCTTCTCTTATTTGAGATTATCATTGTTTTTGTTTTCTTTGTATTTATCGTCATATTTATGTTTATGTTTGTCAGTTCTTCTTCTAGGATTTCAAGGTTGTTCTGTAGGTCTTCTCTGTTTTCTGCTATCAAAACCATGTCGTCGGCAAATAGAAGCTCTGATAGTTGAGTCTGTTTTATTTGCCAGTATCCTAATGTTAGTTTTCTCATTCTTCTCTTGGCTTTCTTTATTGCTTCATCCAGTACCACTGAGAACAGCAATGGGCTCAACACGCATCTCTGTTTGACGCCTTGACTTGTAGTAAATTCTTCGGATTCCTCGTTATTGGTTCTCATCGTATTTGTATTATTATTGTACACATCCTTTATTACATCAATTGTTATCCTGTAACTCCTCTTTCCTTTAATGTCCTCCATACGTCCTTTTTTTGGATTCTGTCAAACGCGTTTTCCAGATCAATAAAGCATATATGTATTTCTCTATTTTTATTGATTACTTTCTCACTCAATTGTCTTATTGTGAATATGTGGTCTTGTGTGTTTCTGTCCTTCCTGAATCCACATTGTGTATCTTCCATAGTTGGTTCTATTTGGATTTTTATTCTTGTTTCTATTATTCTTGCGAATACCTTCCCAGGAATACTTGATATAGTGATACCTCGGTAATTATTACAGTTTCTCTTTTTTGTGTATTTGTAGTATAATGTCTTTCTTCCAGTCCTGTGGTATTTCTGCTCTCTTTATGATATCATTCATTAGTTCTTTCATGCTGTCGACTCCCTCTATTCCCATGAATTTTATCATTTCCTTGGTGATATGATCCTTGCCTAGAGCTTTGCCTAATTTAACTCTTTCAATTGCCTTTTCTAGTTCCTCTGTTGTTATGGGTTCTACTATTTGTTCTTCATTTATTTCTTGTATCTCCACTATGTTGTCGACGTCTGTATGAATTAGCTCTTTGAAATGTTCTCTCCATCTTTCCATTATTTAGTTTTCTTCTGTTATTACCTTTCCATTTTTGTCTTTTATATTCGGCATCATGTGTTCTTTCTTTTGTCTGAGCTGTTTTAATGCGCCATAGAAGTGTTTTTTTAGTCCAAACTTTTCCCATGACCTTTCTTTTTCTGCTTTCACAGCTATTTTAACCTCTTTTCTTTTTTCTTTATATGCCTCATAGTCTTCAGTGCGCTTTGTACTTAGATATCTGTTCCATTTTTCCCTTTTTTTCTTTATTTTTCTTCGTATTTCGTCCGTCCACCATTTAGTTCTCCTCATGTTAGTATTTGCTATTTTTGTCTTCCCGCAAGTTTCCTCAGCAGCTATAATTAAGTTGGTCTTGAGATTTTTCCACTTTTCTTCTATACTTGCAGTATTTGCCCTACCTTTCAAAATATTGTCTAATTTTTCTTGAAATATCTTCTTATATATTTCTTCTTTTAATTTGTAGCTTTTTACTTTTTCATTTACTGCCTTTCTCCTCTTTTCTTCCTTTCTTTTTGCTGTTCTCATTCTCATTATTTCTAGATGATGATCACTGTCAATCTCTGAGCCTCTTTTCACTTTTGTGTCTTGTACTATTTTCCATTGTTGCTACTTACGAAAAAGTAATCTATGATTGATTTTTCATTTCTGCTTTCTTGTACCCTCGTGTATTTGTGTACTTTTTTATGTTTAAATTTTGTATTTGTTATAACAAGTTTATTCTCAATACTATTATATTTAATTATATTATATTTCTATTTATGTTATTATATTTAACAATGTTAAAATAATTACATAGTATGTCTATTGCCATAAGTCAATTAAACCGGGTTAATTTTTCTATACACACCACATAAATTTTCATTAAACAACACTGGTTCCCTTTAAACATGGCGGAACGTCTGCGCGAAGGAGATGCGCGTGCTTAATTTTCCATGGAGAGTAGACATTCTGATTGTTTATTATTCTGTGGTACTATACTTCTCGGATTATCTAAAGTTTCGTATACAAAAACTTGACTTTTTCCATCTTGTAGCAATGCAATAATTCGAGCAACATCTACAGTAGATAACACCATATCTTAATTTTTCACTTAGTTGAATCATTTGCATTTCAACGAAATCCATGTTTGAAATGCTAAATTACTGTATAATTAAATGTTTTTAACTTAGAAGATAAACAGCGACTACAGAAAACAACAACATAAACGTCAAAACTGACAAAAACAAGCATACGTGAGCGTAATAAATATTTAAATTGAGACGCAATATGAAACAGTGCATAAAACTTCCAATGAATTTTTATTTTTGGAAATTTATAGGGTGGCCACTTTTTTTGCCGTTCAGTGTAGATACAGTTCCAATAACGACTATTTGATATCTCTCTCTTCGTTAATCTTTATTATCCACTCCAGAATGTAGGTCTCTCCCAATTGTTCCCAATTTAATAAATTTGAATTTAGTATAGTGAGTTTTTTAATAAAATTTTGTATTTGACTTATTATACAGGGTTAATCGAAAGGTGGTTTTTTATCCTAACTTTTAAACATCCTGTGGAATAATTGCGTTGGTGGATTTTCGTAAAACCTTATTTTTAGGTTGGAACCATGTTTTTTAAGTATTATGCTTCTTGTTTCATGTGAAAATATGAATAGTTCATTTTTAGGAGCGAAATGACTTTGCCACTCACAATTTACGACTTTTCCTATTATTACCATTATTTTTGTATTAATTTGTAATACGACGGTGGGGGTTTTCAATGATTAAAAGCAACGACGTGATCTTGGTTTTAATGAACAATGATAACAATAACAAATCATAAAAAACAACTTGAATGTATCTTAAACTAAGGACGCAAATAACAAATAAAAACTACTAAAAAATATCTTAAGACTTTGTATTACCTTCCCTAGTCTCTATAACTGCCTGTACACGTCGGCTCATGCTGTCTATGAGGTTGCAAATATCATCTTTCTGGATGTTTTTCCATTCCTCTTCTAGAGCCAAGCGAAGTTCGTTAATTGAGGCTGGTGCGACTTCGCGACCTCTAATATTTCTGCCAAGCATGTCCCAAACGTGCTCTATTGCGTTCAGATCTGGCGAATACGTTGGCCAGGTCAGTTTATTAACACTAACTTCCTCTAAATATTGCGTGACATACATTGCAGAGTGGGGCGCGCATTATCTTGCATTAATAAAAAATCATCGCCGATATATTAAGAAAAGGGTACTACGTGATTTGCTAAAATTTCCTCAATATACCGGTGTATAGTCAACGAATCCTCAATAAATACCAATTCAGTGTGTGCCTCTCGGGATATTCCTGCCCATAGCATCACCGAACCCCCTACTTTGGCCAACGCGGGGACTGAAAGCGCACTCCGCAAATCTCTCTCCAGTTCGACACTATACTCGTCCTCTTCCATCTCATGAGTGAAGACAGTATCTCGACTCATTCGTAACAAGAACATTACTCCTTTATCTTAAAGTCCAATGTAAATGTTCCCTGGAAAATTGTAGTCTAGCCACTCTGTCTCGTGGAAGTAATTTGTGCCCAGTTGCTGGTCTTCAACTTTGCAAACCGAATTCATGTAATCTTCGACGAACTTTAAATACACTTACATTATTGCCTCGAACCTGTTGAAGCTGATTTCTTGTTTGCACCGCTGTAAATGACGACCCCGCAAAGCGTTGACTCGTATAAAACGATCATCTAAAGCGGTAGTTTTGCGCTTCCTGTCACTTTCCTCTTTACGCTTGTTCGTTCCAGTTCGTATAAAACGTTCCACTACCCTTTAGATGGTAGAGCGATGAGTGTTAGTACTCTAGCCACATATTCATAATTTCGCCCACCTTCAACCAGAGCAATGGCTTTCGCACAATCTTCGATACTAAGAACCATGATCAATCAAAGGTAAACAAAATGTAAGTGTCAATATGAGATAATGATAACAGTCACCAAAGCCACCTAGTCGTATTACAAAATAACTCCAAAATAATCATAATTTAAAAAGTCCTAAATTGAGGGTGGCAAATTCATTTGGCTCTAAAAAATGTGTCAAAAAATTGACATGAAACAAAAAACACAATGTTTAGGAGACATGAGTGCAACCGAAAAATAAGGTTTTTCGAAAATTCGCAAACGGAATTATCCCACAGGATGTTACACTTTAAATTTCCGCGGAAGCTTTATGCGGTTTTCTGGGTTTGACTCTTCGTAGAATAATTTTGGTTTTGGCAAAAACGATTATTGAGACGACGTTTCGACAATGGCAAATGCGACCTTCTTGGTTTATTATTTTAAAATTTTAGTGAGTGACTGTAGATGGCAATTGATTGCAACCCCTGTCGCATTCGACGGACAAAATCACATTCAT